GGGGGGCGGGGAGGGGAGGACGGACCGGCCGGCTAAAGACTTTTTACATGTCATCTCGGCTACAGCGCCGAGATGACATGTAAACGAACAATCGGCTTCCTCATTGCGCGCGCCGGCAACTTCCCCACAAGGACACCGCTGCCGCCCTCTGCGCCCTGCCGCCCCGAGGCCGGGCCTCGGTGGCCTTGTGGGAAATCCGGGCCTGCTGACAAGGCCGTGGATCAGGGGAACATATCTGCTTTACTTGAGCCCACTAAAATCTTTTTAATCTTCTTAAATTCCCAGAGTTCTTTAAAGTGATGGGAGTTTGTATAGTCTCAAATTAGGATTTTTTAAATATATGGCGTTGCTTCCCACAGAAGTAAGGAATGGCAGTTCATACCAGTGACTCTGTATGCAGTAAACACTATACAGTCTCAGAACAATATGAAGGCTATGTCATTGTCTAAAGAAGCACCAGTACAGAGAAAAAAAGAAAGAATGTAAACAGCTCATATACAATACAAAAATGAAATCACTTTTATTACCTGTACATTAGAGCAATATAAAATGGTCTTAACCTGTGTGTAGGAGGTCCTGCGTGTAGGAGGGAACATTCATGAATGTTCTTCACACAATTGGTCAGAAAACCAAAATAAAGAGCACAATAAAAAATACATTTCTGGAGACTTGCACAGGAAACAGGGAAAGGTTTATACATCTGGCTACAGAGTGTAGACTTATTTATCTAACACTTCATATACGTGTTTGTAAGGAACCTTGTTATCATTGTGCTCAGTTTCTGTCAATGGCAATGAAATTCTCCCACTCAGAATGATGGCTGCAGACAGAAATAAGGTTGATTATTAGGAGTAATCCAAGTCCAGGCATTTTTTTTGCTGACATAACAGAATATCTGGTTGCTGCTGTTCCTTTTAAACCGTTTCTAAAGCTGCAGACATCTCTTTGAATTGTTTGTGAAAATTCTGAAAAGTGAAAAATGAAACTCGGTTAAATATTGTATATTTCATTTCAAATGTGGCCAAATCTATTTACAGAAAAGGACTAAATCATTTATTTGGCACAAAAAAACAAAACTCTTCACACATAATTTACACTGTGGTGTTACAGTAACAATGGCAAATGTGCGCTAACATGTCACACACAATGTGGTGCAACTTGCATTAAAGTGCACCCCAATGTACAGATGTCATCCATCTGTGCATTATGCTGGGCTGCGTTAAAAATAATAGTGCAAGTTTGTTTTTCTGTGTGTTGAATTAGAACTGAACTCTGGAAGCTGTACCCAAACATTGTCTGTGTTCCCCCTGCAGATGATCTTTTCCTTTTACTGACTTACCAGTTACACACCGTGTCTCTGTGTAGAGGTAAAATGTAATGGATATCCCACCACACTCCTTACTAGTATATCCCCTGAGGATGGGTGCTGCAGTGGCCGCAGATGGTGCCGCTCAAATCCAAGAATATACAGTGAGGAGAATTTATCAAAACTGGAGCAGACAGAATCTGGAGCAGTTGCCCTGGCAACCAATCAGCATCTCTCTTCAGTTTACTCAGGTAAGATTTGAAAATGAGACAGAGAAGCTGATTGGTTGCAGTGCAAATCTGCTCCAGTTTTGATAAATTCCCCCACAGTATGTCACCGGCACACCGGAATCAAGTGTCCAAAATCCAAAGCCTTTTACTTTACTTTTAAATCGAGTATCTCGGCCGGAACACAGGAGAGGAACTTTAAAATAATAACCAGGTGGTATAGATGCCCGGTGACAGTACATAAAATAAACCCCCAAGTATCTAAGATGTGTTGGAGATGCGGGACAGATGAGGGCACAATGTTGCATATATGGTGGACTTGCCAGGGAATTAAGCCCTACTGGAGAACTATTTTTGAACTAGTGGGTAGAGTCATGGGACCAAAACTACCCGAAACCCCAGAAGTGGCATTACTATCAATGCTTCCGGGCCCGGTAAAAAGTATCAAGAGGGGACTGGCATGCCCCTTATTGGAAGCAGCAAGGGCGATAATCCCAAGACATTGGAGACAACCAAATACTCCTGAGGTTCGGGACTGGGTATTGGAGGTAAATCATGTTATGCGAATGGAAGAACTGACAGCTCGGGTATACGATAGATATGCAATATTTGTAGAGAAATGGAGACCATGGATGGCCTTTCTCGGCTCAACAGAGATTCAAAAATACTTATAAGGAACTAGTGTACTGTTTGCTTCTCCCTTCCCCCCTTTTTTTTTGTGCTTTTATTATGGTCTTGTTTGGACTGCTTCCGAGTAGCTACCATGGAAGGGGTACTGAAGGAGGGGTGGGGGAGGGAGGGGCTGTGAGAATGGACGATGTAGGGAGGATGATAGGTTGTAATGTAGGAGCGAGAGCGTAGGCACAAGACTGTGAATGGGAGTGGGAGTGTATAGCTTTTTTTGGTCAGTTTTGTTGTCTGTGTTTTTGTCCTTGTTTTTTAAATTTGTAATTTCCTGTTAGGTTTTTTTGGTATAACAGATATAATAGTATCTATGAAGGTGGCTTAGCTTAACATAGAAGTGATTAAAAATACTACTTAAACAAGCAATAGTGGATAAGAGATAGTAGTTGGATATAGATGTCATTGGTACTATTTTTTTTATGTATTTAATTGTATCAAGAAATTGTATATATGATATGAAATAAATAAAAATTTATTCTTGAAAAAAAAAAAAAAGTGTCCAAAATCGTCGTCACAAAGAAAGCAACATTTCAGGGCCATTTTGGGTTTGATGAAAGGACCCAGAGTGGCCCCGAAAATGTTGCCTTCTTTGCGACAAGATGTACATGCATTAATAAAGACCTTTCTGGACACTTGGATTCCGGTGTGCTGGTGACATACTGTATTTCATGTGTAGAAGTGGCCATCTTGGTAGAGACAGGGTTTTGCTTCCTCATATCAGAGCCTCCAGCATGAAGAACAGTGATCAGCACAGTATCAAACCAAATCTCACTCTAAATCTTCTTATACTAGCAGTCAGAGGCAGCAGTGCATAAGATCTCACACTGCCGATATACAGCTATGAGGCTAAGTGCCTACGCACACTCACATAACTAGGAAGTACAATACTATATTTCAGAAGAACTCCAGACAAAAAGGAAGACTGTTCCGGGCCCCACTAAGGCTAAAATAGCTTTTGAAGATGTAACTTATAAAATAGCAAATCTCCACTTTTTGGGTTCCATTCCATTTTACAGTGTGGTGCCACCCCATTCAAAATGGGCTGCCTTAATTCAGCGTGCATTAACGTATGTTAACACAATACATAGTGTACCTGGCCCTTTACTGTGTGTCACACCTGCACTGTGAACCCACCTAGACATGTATAGGACAGTTTTCCAAGCATCCCCAGCCTTGAAGTACAACCCTATACAAGTCTATTAGGACTCACTGCACTGGTGGGGCCAGCGATGAAGAACAATTTAGGCCACAGAACATAAAAACAAGAAGCAAGGCTCGAGCTGTTCTATTGAAGTAAATGAGCCGCCGGGGTGGGGGTTTTTCTGTGTAAAAGGGTTCTGGAGATGCTAGGGAGAGAGTGGTACACAAAAAAAATATATCTTTATGAATATCTGAAAGAAAGTCTATGACATTATTCCCTATTTTTCATAATGAGCATATATAATATGTATGTTATTCAAATTTAGACTTGCCACCTCTGGGAATTGGAAAATTATTTGTATTGATGTATTTATAATTTTTCTTTAAAATGTTGTATCACTTATAACACACACACACACACATCCCAGATATGATTACAGTAGAATAATGTTGGATTGCTTTCTTTTCATGTGACCTCTGATATTTCCACTGCTTTACTATAAAAAATTAATATGTGAGTTTAAAGAAAGTCTGCGTGAAGAGAAATATGTAGGCTGCCATGGGTGACCTTTCCAACTGAAAAAACTGGTTTCCTTGTTCTCATGCTAATTACCTGTCTTGTCCAAGTATGCAGATCAGCAGTTTTGACAATGCTGACTTTACTAGCTGCATGCTTGTTCTGTTTCAGTGACTGAGAAAGTGCTGAAACCATCACAATTAATTAAGATTTTCAGAAGGAGGTCAGCAATGGCGCTCTCCATGTTTGTGTCACAGCAATTATACTTTAACCCAGGGCTCAAAATTTCCTGAGTACTGAGCTACTAGCCAGGCCTTAAAAGTTACTAGCCACCAGTTGCCCCACCTAACCCTTACCCTGCCCCAGCCTTAACTCCGCCTCTAAACAGCGCCCGCTTCTACTGTAAGGTTGTACGACTTTCGTCTTCCAAGCACGCTGAAAAACGATTTTTGGAGGGTTGGTGGCGTGGTCGGAAGACGAATGCCGCACGTGCCGGTGCGATGATGAGGGCTTGCGATGATCGGAAGTACGATCTGCCTGTCTAAGATGGTACGAGATTTTAATGACCTTACAACCATCGCACAACGAAAGTCGTGCGATGGTTATAAGGTATATGGGCAATGGCCATAGAGTGATGGAGGGGCAGCTATGTACATTTTGGTTCTCAGCTTTTTGAAGAGGTGGAAGAATGAACTGAAATTTTAATCCCAGAGAAAAAAAAGTCAGCAGTAACATTTACCAACCTGAAATTCAGCAATAGACATCTCGATGACTTTACTTGTGACCTGGCCAGAAGAGTCTACCACTTTTAATGACACAGTGACATATGGATGATTCAGGGATCGGCAGTTGTCTGAACTTACAGCCATTCCAATTTTCCATTGAAAATCGACAAGCTGTAATTACAAAAAAACATATACAAGGAGAGATGGGCAACAATCCATTAACCTTTCTGCTACCATCAACCTACCACACCAGGAACTTATATAATGATCACTAGGAAGCAGAAAATGCAGCATTTTAAGACCTGAGCTGCTGGAAATCTAAAGTGATATTAAAGTTTAATTTTAAAATTTTTATAAAGAGGCCCATTCCTTTAAAACTCATTTGTTGTTTTAAATAAAAAATCTTCCATTCCCCGCTCTCCAGTGGGTCCCCGCAGCACTCTCCCCCCTACACGGGTGCCGCCATCAGCTAGGCAGCTGCTGTGGAGGCACCCATGCTTGCTCGCTCCCTGCCGTGCCCGCAAGAGGCTGTGTGTGGCCATAGACACACACAGCCCACACAGCACTATAATTACAGCATGCCACGCCCCTCGGGTTGATTGACGGCAGAAGGAGCCTATTGCTCCTCTGCCCTCAATCTCCTCCCCCCGCAACCAGGAAGTACTGATGAATCAGAGATCTGCTTTATCAGCTTCTTCTCTCTGGCTATAGCAGCCAGATGACTGACAGGTGAATGCGGAAGTGATGTAATACACACGGGGGATGGGGGGGCTAAAAGGTTAAAAAAACGCCCTGCCTTTAGTAATACTTTAAGTATAGTGCCTCTTCTTTTTCCACGTAGGTCTTTTTGCCATTTTGACCCTGTAGTGAGAGGGTCACTTTAACCTCTTGCCATCCGCCCGTTAAGAAAAAAACGGACGGACGGCTGACTCCTATCTGCGGGTTGCCGTCGTCAGACGGCATTTTTTTCCTGCTCGCGCGCGCCCCCTAGCGCGCGCGCACGGGAAACTACATTTATTTGTGCAGCAAAGTGTGCGTCTAGTCCCATACTGATACAATGCTACCAGAATTGTGGTCTATATTATGAACTGTATACCTCATGGCAATGAATCTTACTTGCGAAGCTGGTAACAAATCTCTGGATCCTTCATTCTCTAACAGACTTTTTCCTTCCTCATTCCACACATGACGGATGACTTGCAAGATCTGCTTTGGCAATGTGTATTTGCTTACAACAAAATTCAAAAGCGCATCGCTGGAAAGTCTGTGCTTTGCAGCAGTACTGTAAATATAGAGAAAGAAAATAATTAGGGCTGGGTGCTGCCAATCCTACATATATGTTTCTCCTCCTCTAAATGGTAACCAAGCTATCTAGCAAAAGTGATGGAGACAAAGCTTGGAATAAACTATAATGTTTTTTTTTAAATATTTATATGGTACTGCAACTATTTGAGCAGCTCTAAAAGAGTTATAGTTTGCCCCAACTCGTATCCATTTTGCTGGACAACTTGGTCTGCATATAAATGTGGAAACAACCACAAATATAGTCCTGTCATAGAAAGCAATGCATATACTGAAAATATTATCATTGCATTTATTAACCACATACTGTTATTAGAACACCAAATATAGTGGTCATTAAAGTGCAACAATCCATGCTAATAAGAATTCATCTTGTGCTGGTCTGACTTGAGCGGAGTCAATTATTTTTGCTATTGTTTACCACATTTTTTAATATGAATTGAATGAGGGTTCTGGTATTAACCACTTGCTGTCCGGAGCAATTTCTTACTATTTGCGCACACATGATAAATACATTTTTGGCTAGAAAACAGCTCCAGACCCCAAAACAATTATATATTTACTGAAAGCAGAGGGCCTGTAGAAATAAAAAAAATGCTAGTTGCAATTTTTTTATGTCGCATGGTATTTGCGCAAATGTTTATCAAACCAGTATTTTTAGGATAAAATAAACTGAATTAAAATTTTGTGCACAGAAACAGATCAATTTGTTAGTAAAATATGAAAGATAGGGTCACGCCGGGTAAATAGATACCAAACATGTCATGCGTTAAAATTGCGTTCGCCCATGAAGCTGCAAAAAACATCAATACCCAAAATTTTCCATAGGGAACACTTTAACCTCGTTTACCGCTCGTCAGTTTAGTGCGAACAGTGATTAACGGCTCTAGAATTATTGCTCTTACTCCGACGTTTGTGACGATATGTAACATGTGTTTTTGCACATAGGTGCACCGATGCGTGTTGTATGTGCGTGCACGTGGGGACGGGGGACTTTAACATTTTTAGTTTGCATTTTTGATTTTTCTTATATGTTATTTTAATTTGTTTTATTTTTTTAAACACTTTTTTTTTCCCCACTAACCTTATTGCTATCACATGTAATAGCAGATAAGAGTGTGACAGGTCCTCTTTATGGAGACATCAGAGGTCTTTCAGACCCCTAATATCACCTAGAGACACGTATAGACGCCGGATCGCTGGCTCTGAAAAATGACACCAAGAACATGGCTGCAGTAGCAGCTGTGTTCTTGTTTTAACCACTTCTGCGGGCCACCGTATATCTACGTATTGTGGCCCGCAAGTGGTTAAATACCACATCAACCATTTACTGAATTTAATAAGATACGTTGAGGAACATAACAGAACATTACTATATAATGGTGTTGGGGAATGCCCAAATAAATAATAATAACATACAGTAATTAAGTCCAATAGTGGGTGCCACACTCAGATAAGAGCTGGGGTGCACTTGCTTGTATTGCAGCGTTAATTTCGTTGACTAATAATTTTCGTCCTAGTTTTTGCCAACAACACTTTGTCAGTGACTAAAACTAGACTAAAATGTTAGGGAGAGATCCAATCAGAACTAATCTCTTTGGACTTCCAGTTCCGGTTCCATCCTGAATGGACAGCTAATAGGTCCAATGGCATTACAGCCAATATAGATTTTCATTTTAATATTTTAGAGTTGTACTTCTGTTTGAAAGTATGAAGAATGTCATATGCAAGTTGTTAGAATCAATGCATAACTAATTACTGAGCCTTTGTTGAAAATACCAATATTATTAATATATTATAAGACTTGGATTAATCCAATATTAAGATGAATAAAGACGTTATATATAACTGTATTGCATGTTCAGACCTTCATACCATAAGTAATAACAGATATATATGTAGTATATAGTCAAAAGACTATCAGGGTTATTCACAGAAGGGTGAAGAGTTTGGAGAAGGCAGGAGAAGTGAACAATCTAGGACAACATAGCTAAACTGGAAAGTGAGCTGAATTGGAGAATGTTTCTAGTTCAGCTATCTTTACCTAGGTTGTTCACTTCTCCTGCCTTCTCCAAACTCGTCAGCCTTTTGTGAATAACCCTGTAAGACTAAGGCCTTGTTCACACCAAAAGCGTGTGCGTTCCAGAGCGGTAGCTGCTGGAACGCACCGAGATATCTGAGAAACTTCCCCCCGAGTTTTGGGGCGGGAGGGGGCGTGGCAGTGCATTGAATTCAATGGCACTATAGGGCTTGCTCTATTTTTTGCAGTTTTTTTTCAACAGGGCTTGCTCTATTTTTTGCGTTTGCAGTGGAACGGAACGCTGGCAAAGTTTTGCCGCGCGTCCGATCGCACTACGGGTGGGGGAGGCGTGGAAGAGGTGCCGTTGAATTCAATGCACCGCCACGCCCCTTCCCCAAAACGCGGGGGGAAGTTTCTCAGCGATCGTGGTGCTTTCCAGCAGCTACCACTCTGGAACGCACACGCTTTCGGTGTGAACAAGCCCTAAAACGAAATCGAAATTTGGTGTCAAAATTAACACTTTGAGAAAAACAAGCAGTGCCTTGTGAAAATGTCGACTAATAAATCGACCAATGGCATAAAATTAATAAATAATACACAAACATAACAAGTGACAATTACTTGTACAGGTAACAATAACTGATGTTATCTGCCTCATCTCTCTAGACTCTACAGAAGGGTAGAACTCCCTCTGCTGGGCAAAAATACAGAATGGACATCCTTACAGTGTGTGATTTACACTGCTAAATGACGTTTACATAAGAAGGTTGATTATACAGCATTTTTAGTAATTTGAGGCACTATAGGAGCCAAAGACAGGGGCAGCAGATTTACAAACTTTGCAGACTTGCCAAGGTAGCAAGGCCTGGCATGGAAAGGGCAGGATTAGGCAGATATAAACTGCAGCTGTTCTGGAGTGCACTGTCAGCTTGTGATGAACCATCATTACATGCTGAGCTTAAAGGGAACGTGTACTGAGGGAAAAATGGGGGTTGCCATTGCTTACCATGTGAAACCAAGGACAAATCCTTGCAGATCAGTCAAGTCACAATAGTGAATTATTTTGCTAGGAACACCTCCCCAGTGACAGAATGAATAAACTGTGCAGTAAAATCACTCGCCTGATTGCATGTGTTGATAAAAGGTACATGGCAACCACACAATTTATAACCAGCCTTTGTAGTAAGGTGCACAAGGAAGGGTTTACAACAATACAAAACACAGAATTTTCCCAGCACACTTATCGCCTGGTGTGCAGCAAAACAAATTTCCCTAACAGTATGTGTTAAAATCAGAGGTTTTAGTTGCACAACTCTTTGCAAAAAATATGTGGAAGCCACACTGCCTCATCAAGGCTCCTCCATTTAGTGTGGTCCTAACTTTAATGTTTGCGAGTCTCCATATAGGAGCACATTTAAGCAGTTGATAAATTGAATGAATACTTTGAACCTAAGGGCCATCAGACTAGGCTTGCCAGCGGCAAGATTATTATACAGGTCAAAGATGGGCAGTAAAATACTCACCTACTTGCATGTGTTGTTTCCTCACTGGCTGGATGAGCAAGGTATCCCTCATCCAGCTGGTTAAGGAGAGACACATGTAATCAGGTGAGTAATTCACTGCCCTGCTCGGTCCTGTATGATGATCCCACCGCTGGCAAGCCTAGTCTGACATGGCCCTTAGGTTCAAAGTGACGTAGTCAAGGATGTTGCAGGGGAAACTGGAACATCCTTGACTACAGAAATACCCAGGTTATTCTGGTGGCTTCTTCTGGGGTGAGCGCTACACTTTATTATCATTTTCAAATATTTTTTACCTGAGATTAATGGCAATAGGAAGACGACACAACACAAAATATCTAAAAATATGTACACCGATCCCAATATTGAGTATGTCCCCCTTTAGCCACCAAAACAGTCCTGACCCGTCAAGGCATGGACTGCACTAGACCCCTGAAGGAATGCTGTGGAATCTGGCACCAAGCCATCAGCAGCAGATCCTTTTAGTCCTGTAAGTTGTAATGTGGGGCCTCCTTTGCTCCCCATCTTTTAGTCCTGTAAGTTGTAATGTGGGGCCTCCTTTGCTCCCCATCTTTTAGTCCTGTAAGTTGTAATGTGGGGCCTCCTTTGCTCCCCATCTTTTAGTCCTGTAAGTTGTAATGTGGGGCCTCCTTTGCTCCCCATCTGTATCAATGAGCCTTGTCCGCCCATGACCCTCTGACCGGTTTTTGCTCCTTGGACCACTTTCAGTAGGTCCTGGCCACTGTAGACTGGGAACATCCCACAATAGTTTTGGAGTTGCTCTGACCCAGTCGTGTAGCCATCACAAGTGGTCCCTTGTCAGAGTCACTCGAATCCTAAGGCCTGGTTCACACCTAGACGTATTGCATATGCGTGTCTGTCGCGCGTTTTTTTACCGCGATTCGCGGTAAAAAAAATCGGGCGACAAACGCGCGTTTCCGAGGGCTACTTGGCTGTATCCCAATGAAAACGCGCAACAAAAATGGCCCAAAGTAGTACATGTACCTTTTCAGGCGTGGGCCGTTTTGTAGCGCGTTAGGGACGGGCTGAACTACGCCAAGGTGTGAACCAGACCCATTGAATACAATGGGATTTAGATGTTTGAGCGTTTTGTAGAGCGTTCGTCGAGCATAGAACGCCCTACAAAACGTTCAGGTGTGAACGAGGCCTTTACACTTTCCTATTTTTTCTGCTTCCAACACATCATGGGACAAAATGTTCACTTGCTGCCTAATATATCACACTCACTTCCAGGTGCCATTGTGACAAGATAATCAATGTTATTCACGTCACCCGTTAGTGGTCATAATGTTATGACTGATCGGTGTATATGTACTGTATAGAAAAAAAATCTGACTGCTAGCAAATATTCGACAGAAACTTCTGCTAGCGCTAAATTTATTTATTCTAGGTTTATTATTGTAAGTAAGTTATTGGGTCTACCTGAACAGGCACGTCACTGCATTGATCACGTTTCTAACTTCATTAACGCTGGTTTCCACGCCAGTCGCTTGAAATCTCTGTTAATAAAGTTTGCAGAAATGAAAAGATATTGCCCATACTAGTAAAACAAAAGACAAATGAAATGCACAGGTCTACAATAGCAGTCATTGTCCAACACTGAGGCTACATGTCTACCATGGTACACACAGTTTCCCTAACAGATACGGCTATATGATCATAATTTAAAAAAATAAAATACAGATTTTTACAAGTTCCCATTTCTTTAGAGTTCTCTTTTACATGGATTAATATTTAACCTATTAAAAGCATCATTCCCATGAAACAGCAGGCACTGCTAGTTACTTTAGTTTTCAAACTGAGCATTCTGGGAGCCCCAAATCCTGGGGAAGTTTGGTATACACCAGTCCCAACAGGTCCGCACTCCCCATTGCTGCCATGTTCTCGGCCTCTCCTTCCGGCCCAGTTTTTTTTTCTTCTTCCTTCGCTTAGTGATAATGTAACTCTAGCTCAGGAGTTTCATTATCCTGCCACCTGGCTCTACTCTTGGTATCTGTAAAGGTGCCCATACACCTTACGATTATCGTACGATAATCGTATGCGATCGACTTTTCGTAAGACAATCGTAACGTGTGAATAGAGTGCCTGACCGATAGTACTGTACAATCGTACGACTTTTGACAGTCAAGCATGTTTGAAAACTTTGGTCGATCGTACGATGTTCGCATGGTTGGTGGCGTTTCCGTCCGTCAAAAGTCGTACGATTTGCATGCGCAAACGAAAATAATTGCGGTCAATTACGCAAGTCGTCCAGGTGTTTTTTTTAACTACCGCTGATTGAACCTTTCGATAATCGGGGCAGGATGGGGCCATCGTACGCAAATCGTACGACGGTTCGATCATCGGACGAAAGTTTTGTCCGATAATCGTAAGGTGTATGGGCACCTCAAGACTGAGTGTGTGCAATGCACTTTGCATTAAAGACATACAAAAGGGGTCTTTTTATTTAAAAAAAAATAAAAAAAAAAAAAAATGCAGAGCCAGTCACACTGCAAATTTTTGTGAACTTTTGTTTTGTTAAAATAGAGGCAGAAAAACACTAACAGGGTTATTCACAAAAGGGTGAAGAGTTTGGAGAAGGCAGAGGGGAACAATCTAGAACAACATAGCTGAACTGGAAAGTGAGCTGAATTAGAGAATGTTTCTGAATCAGCTATTTTGGCCTAGATTGTTCACCTCTCCTGCCTTCTCCAAACCCTTCACCCTTTTGTGAATAACCCTGTTAGTATTTTTTCTTCTCAGGTCGAATGTAATGCGATACTGTCTTGTGGCCCCTAGATAACACTTTTTCCCTACACTCCTCATCTCCATCTAGTGGTCATAATGCAGTATTAAATTACAAATCGACCTGAGAAGAAAATATACAAAAGTATGTTTGTTTTTCCATCTATTTGCACAGAACTAACTTTCTCAGAGATTCACAAGACAAAATCTTTATAAATAGACCCCAAAGTCTCTATCTTCTAGAATCTGTTATCTTTTATATTATATTCTTTATTTTCATACCTGACAAAAATGTGTCTGATCCACCACAACACTCTGACACCGCAGACAAGTAACAATTTGCTGACACTAAAAAAAAATTTTTTTTAATGCAAATTATGTGAACATTTAAATATGAAACATTTGTGTTAGTTTTGGTAAGAAAATACAGTTCTCTCCAGGACAAATGTATACATTGAAGGACTTCTAGCAAACCTAATAGCTATATATTCAGAAAAGACACGTCAATGCATTTGCCAAGATCTCTGTGGTAACTGATGATGGTTTGCTTTTACTAGAATCACATAATTATTCTCAGGGTTGTAGAAATGCCTTTAAACATGTGATGCGCTTTACAAATATTTCAACAAACACGCAACTTCCAATACAGTAAACCTAAGGACATTGTGATACCCTTTGCAACTGGGTGTCTGCAATTTCTAAAAGGTATAAATAGATGAATACAAAGTGATAGGATGATCCCCATCAACCTCAATAGCGCATACTGTATATGTTTACGGATTTACCTGTCAACTGATTTGTTATTCTGTACAAGTAATATTGTAATTTATGCACATTTTCTACATTGTAGAGTAAGACAGGTGATCAACATAGCTCCCAATATGCCTGTGTGTTTTTGTGGAGATGCACACAGCTTACTAGCACACACAAGGTTGTCTCCATAGGGCCCTGCAAGGGAAAACTTCCCCCCAAAACTGGATATCAGGACCAGTGCTCAGGGGACCAGCTAATTCTGCAGAAAATAAAAACTTTTAAACATCAAGAAGCAGTAAGTGATTTCCTCAGCATTTAAAAATAGCTTAGAACCCTTTTGACTTTAATATCGCTTTCATTGTAAGGGACATATTTATAAAGACATTTATGAAGCGTATTGGACAATTAAATTACATTCACCAGCATCTGGTCTTCAATGACAAAGGGTACGTACTATAAAACAAACCATATCTATATCACGTTTGCTGTACATTCACCAGACGCATTCATTTTACACAAGCATTGGCAACAGATTTCAGCATTTCACATGGAAATTGCATAGATTTCCTCTAAAGACTGATGACCATAGCACTGAGCATTCTGACTAGTCAGTAATGGGGAAGAGGTCAGCCTCAGGGAGCCCACCGGCAATATAGGTGAATAGACTGGGACAGTAAGTATGGGGAAAGCAGATAGCAATAACAACCTGACAGAGCGTCATACTCTTCCATCGCCTGTCAAAATTGTTGTCTATGGCCACTTGGGAAAGATTTTCCCTCACTTCCTGTGACAAAGGTGAAATGAGAAGTTAGAGAATATCTCAGCAACGAGGTAACAGACAACAAAGACTTGACCGAGGTTCTCACACTTTATCTTCCTACCCAAAACAAAAGGTTGTGGTTATTGTTCAGCTTTAAAATTCTGTAAACTCATTAACGTGAGTGACTTACCAGTTCAGCAAAGAGGTCAGGTGGTAAAGCTTTAATCAAGTTGCTTGACTTTTCAAAGCCTGCAAGAAACAAATCTGTGAGACTGATGGGTCTTGGGTTTAAAACATTAGATTGGAAACCATAATGCTGTTCATAATAATAAAAAACATCAGTACACTCCGGGATGATTCATAAAGAAAAGTTGATATCACTCTCTGCTCTCTGGCAGATACTGCAGCAATTACTCCACACTGCCCTCTACGTATACTTCATTCATAAAGATTCAAGCTGGGTATCCTCATTTATAAAATGCAGAAAGTGTGGAGCCCGCAGTCTACCACAGAGAGTTCTCTGCTTAAAGACCATAACATTGTCACTGATACTCGTTCCATCAATATACATTAAAAGAAGGGGACAGTGGTGATATGGTGGGCCCATGATACCCTGCATTGTCAGCATTGTCCTCAGCCTTCCAGATTGAGTGCTGCTGGGCAACATGTAACCTGGACGCCTAGGAACACCTTGTGGCAGAAAAGAAGTACTGCGGAGGATGGCTCCAGATTAAAAGTAAAAAAAAAAAAAAAAAACAGTACGGGGGACTATAGGCATTAACACAGCATTAAAAATTCCATGATAAATTAAAGCCCATCTGTAGGCCCGTGTTCATTTGCGGCATGTCAATATATAAGAAGCACTCTCCAGGCAAACAGCTGGTATAAATTGAAGAAAAAAATAAAGTCACATCTCTTTTTTTATTTTATTTTAGTAAAATACACTTTCTTCAAAGTGTCCACAAGCAGCTAGAGCAGGAGAGGGTGGATGGATGTAAACACTGCTAGAGCTCCATCTCTCATCAGTCCGTTGGATGGACCAGACACAAGTGGGCATGTTTGTAGATAGTACTGCGATAGGAACATATGTCGCCAGCACACCATGGATCCGTAATCAATAGTACAAATGTCTTTTTGAAGCAATGACATTACAAGTAGTGTCAGTGCAACATTGCAAGGCCATGGGGGATCTCTTCATCAGGCATGTGGTTCTAGAGGTACTCTGTGGCCTTGAAATGTTGCACTGACACTGCTTGTCATGTGATCACTTCAATAAAACATTAGGACTATTGATTATAAATCTATGGTGTGCTGGCAACTAGGGCTGCAACAACTAATCGACATAATCGATTATAATCGATTATTGAAAAAGTTGTCAACTTTTTCAATAATCGATTAATCGCCTTCCGATCAGTTGGCCCTGTTCACGGCTCCACACTCTGTGCGCCGCACCTCCTCCCCACCTCACGCTCGCCGCTGCCAGACCCGCTCGCATCCACACGCCGCACCTCCTCCCCGCCTCACATTTCCTGCCCATCCACATTCACGATCTGCACAGGGACGCAGGGAGATGTAGTAAGGAGGAGCAGGTGTGGGGGGATGACAGCTGCTGATAGACAGGTCCGATCTCAGAAGTACGTTGCTGGAAGACTGCACTTTCCCACACATGGTGCTCTACAATGTATTGCTGGGATTTGTTGTACTCCTCTATAGCTGGTGATATTCTGCATTACGCTGTATAGAGGACTACAAGTCCCAGCAATAATACATTATACAGCGCAATGCAGAATACCACCAGCTGTAGAAGAGTACAACAAATCCCAGCAATAGTACATTATACAGTGGTACAATGCTAAATACCACCAGCTATAGAGGACTACAAATCCCAGCAATAGTACACTATACAGTGGTACAATGCTAAATACCACCAGCTATAGAGGACTACAAAACCCAGCAATAGTACATTATACAGCGCAATGCAGAATGCCGCCAGCTATAATGTACTATTGCTGGGATTTGTTGGATTCCTCTATAGCTGGTGATATTCTGCATTGTGCTGTATAATGTACTATTGCTGGGATTTGTAGTCCTCTATAGCCGTTGCCATTCTGCATGCATTGCTGTATAATTTTACACTTTCCATTTCACTATATTGCACACCACACTATCTTTTTTTTTTTCTTTTTTACTTCCACCGGTCCAAGCTTGCTCCTGTGATGGACTACAACCTCAATACAAACTAGTAGTCCATCACTGGAGCCATTTTTTAAACTTTATTTTATAGTTTATCCGATTAACCGATTAATCGAACCTAATAATCGGCTAACTAATCGATTTTGAAAATAATCGTTAGCTGCAGCTCTACTGGCAACATATGTTCTTTAGCTGTACTAACCCCTGCCAACCCTTTTACTCTAGGCCCTGTCCAGGAACGTGTGCAATAGGAATATATGGAGTGATGTTTGTGGGCAGGAGATGATGGTTGAAGCTTCACAGTGACAGTCAAAGTATATGCAGGCTATCAGCAGGATATCACACCTTTGTAGTCCTAGCAGGTTTAGTGGCAGTACTGTGTGACAATGCTTCAGCAGTTTCAATGCAGAAGCAAGTAAGGGAAGTAAGGATTCAACTCATCTACTGGCAGGATCACCCAATATTTCACTATCTTACATGGGGCGC